TGTCGCTTAATTTGTCGCCAAACTCCGATTGCTGATGATAAATTTGAATATCGATAATCGAAGAACCTCGTCAGACTTACATGAGGAACAGAACACAACGAAATTACGATCATGGCAAATTTTTGTAAAACGCAAGGCGAGTGTATTTTTTAATGCATTTTTAATGCATAGTTTTCTTACAATAAATAAATGGCAAATAAAAACACAGGCAAGGTGTTCACACTAGCTCAGTCCAGTCGACACCACTGAATCCCGTGGATTTACTTTATAACTAAGGTCCCTACTGAGTTGACTCATCAAAATATGTTAATAAAAAGCTCCATCAGAGAGGTAGTAAGAAAAGTTAGAAAGGTAGATTTTCTCCGTTTAAAGTACTGACGCGGTGCAATTAAAGCTGCATCGAGGCAAACGAAAATCGATGGGTTTTCGTTCGCGAAATTCAGTAATGGGTGACTGAATGGCCTATCTTACAAGAATAGCGCCTTAAAGCCCCGTCCACTTTAGTGGTCATTACGTTCATCGAAGCAAAAAGAGTTGGAGATGCTTCGACAGTCAGCGATCTGAGTCTTGGACGAGATTCTCTTGGACGGTACACTCAAGGTCTTAAAATAATTGAGGAGAATATGCCGCCTTTCTATAACATCAAGAAATGGTTAGATATTCTAGTCTTTTCGGATAGGGACGAATAAATGGAGGTCCCGTCTCCCGTAGGGTTAGGGGTAGGTATGAATCTTAATTAGAGGGTATCTGAATAAACTTATAAATACTTTTCACGCTCACGTTAACTGAGACAACGAGAAATATGTTTCTAACTGCTCTATGACCGGAAAAAATGCGTCGCTATTGTAGTGTATGCCATCCTTCGTTCCTGGTGGATATGAGGCACTAATTGCATACGCATCAAGACCACTTATGCCACCGGCACACATGGCTGAGTTTGCGAACGCATTGTACAGTTGGATCCTCTGAAAAGTGAACAGAAAGATCGTCAAAAGCAGAGTTACACTATTCGTTAGTTCTATGAGACAAGTTGCGCTTCTGTTTTGACTGCACCGGGGTACACACACAGGAGGAGTTTATAGAGAACATTCAAATCTAAGAGATTAACTTTTTTTAGTACTCAAAGAACGATAAAAAGTGAATTATGGATATCAAATCCCTATGTCAAAGGGCTTGAACAACGGCAGGTGTAACTAAAACACAAGTTCACTTTCCCTAGGCTTATTTAGCTGGGAAAATGGAGAACGCTCATTAAGCTGCATTGCCTTATTAGCGGCGAACAGTGCTCTAAAACTAAAGGAAGGTAAATGAATAAAGGGAGTAAGTTTCTAAACTGGAAACTGCGGTGCTGCGTCGGTTGGGGTAACAAGGTAATTTAGTTATATCAAGTAAGTTGAAATTGTAAATTGGCCAATATAAGGAGTTAAAAAGTAAAGAAAGGTACACTCTGATGGAGGCATACAAAGGCTCAGCTGAATAGCAATGTGGTAAAAATACTTTAAAACAGTGTTTGGCTTCCGTATGACTCATAAACCGTCTAACTCCCAGAAGTGATTAACATGCAGCGTCTTCTAATAGTATCATACGTTATTGAGCGAACAGATAATGAGAATACTCAAAATTATCTGGCAGAAGTTTACATCTTGATCTAACACCAAGTTCTCGTAACTAATTTCCAAGGAAATGCGGTAGCAGCTAGAGGTGAGAATTGACAATCAGTTCTTTGGTGAGACCATAGCTATTACACACACTTCTCGGCGAAATTTGCTCCATTAGCTTTTGATCAAAAATAATTAATGCATTTTCTATTACCAACAAGAATATGATATTTCAGTACCATCAGATACATACATGATTTGTTATAAATCTGCGGAAGGCGCCCATAACGTCAGCGGATTGAACATCGATGGCTGTGGTCGATTTCCAGATTGCTTTACCCTTATACAGTCTCTTAATTTCGGATATCAGTGCTGTGATGAACTCTTTATAGCCTTTGAAACTTGTTGTCTAAGAAATAACAAAGCGATTTTAGTGGACTGATACTGTTTTATTTTAT